TTCTTTAATAAGGGTTTAATAAGTGATTAAATGGTTCTTTTGGAAGGCTTGCAAGTTTGACTTTGCATTTTTGGAAATGGCCTTTGCTTCCTTCTTCAGGGGCTGCTCTGGCACAGCTTGCTGCAATAGTGACCCCAGCAAACAAACCTACTAAAGTGAAATGGACCCTCTCCTGGTCCAGGGCCTTGGAAAATTGTGGAAAAGCTGTTCTTTAATAAGGGTTTAATAAGGGATTGGCTCCTTCGGGAAAGGCTTGGAGTTTGAATTTGGCAATTGCCTTTGGAAAAGGCTTGCTACCCTTCTGGGCTTCCAGGGGCTGCTCTGGCACAGCTTGCTGCAATAGTGAACCCAGCAAACAAACCTACTAAAGTGAAATGGAGCCTCTCCTGGTCCAGGGCCTTGGGAAATTGTGGAAAAGCTGTTCTTTTAATAAGGGTTTAATAAGGGATTGGCTCCTTTGGGAAAGGCTTGGAGTTTGAATTTGGCAATTGCCTTTGGAAAAGGCTTGCTTCCCTTCTGGGCTTCCAGGGGCTGCTCTGGCACAGCTTGCTGCAATAGTGAACCCAGCAAACAACCTACTAAAGTGAAATGGAGCCTCTCCTGGTCCAGGGCCTTGGAAAATTGTGGAAAAGCTGTTCTTTAATAAGGGTTTAATAAGGGATTGGTTCTTTTGGGAAAGGCTTGGAGTTTGAATTTGGCAATTCCCTTCTGGGCTTCCAGGGGCTGCTCTGGCACAGCTTGCTGCAATAGTGAACCCAGCAACAAACCTACTAAAGTGAACTGGGCCTCTACTGGTCCAGGGCCTTGGAATTGTGGAAAGCTGTTTCTTTAATAAGGGTTGAATAAGGATTGGTTTCTTTTGGGAAAGCCTTTGCAGTTTTGAATTTTGGCAATTTGGGGGAAATTGGCTGCTCTCCCTCTGCAGGGGGCTGCTCTGGCACAGCTGCGCATAAGTGAACCCAGCAACACACCACTAAATGAAATAAATGGGGCCTCTACTGGTCGCAGGGCCTTGGAAAATTGGTGGGAAAGCTGGTTCTTTAATAAGGTTTAATAAGGGATTGGTTCTTTTGGGAAAGGCTTGGAGTTTGAATTTGGCAATTTTGGAAACGGCTTGCTTCCCTTCTGGGCTTCCAGGGGCTGCTCTGGCACAGCTTGCTGCAATAGTGAACCCAGCAAACAAACCTACTAAAGTGAAATGGAGCCTCTCCTGGCCCAGGGCCTTGGAAAATTGTGGGAAAGCTGTTCTTTAATAAGGGTTTAATAAGGGATTGGTTCTTCTGGGAAAGGCTTGCAGTTTGAATTTGGCAATTTTGGAAATGGCTTGCTTCCCTTCTTCAGGGGCTGCTCTGGCACAGCTTGCTGCAATAGTGAACCCAGCAAACAAACCTACTAAAGTGAAATGGGGCCTCTACTGGCCCAGGGCCTTGGAAAATTGTGGAAAAGCTGTTCTTTAATAAGGGTTTAATAAGGGATTGGTTCTTTTGGGAAAGGCTTGCAGTTTGAATTTGGCAATTTTGGAAATGGCTTGCTTCCCTTCTTCAGGGGCTGCTCTGGCACAGCTTGCTGCAATAGTGAACCCAGCAAACAAACCTACTAAAGTGAAATTGGGCCTCTACTGGTCCAGGGCCTTGGAAAATTGTGGGAAAGCTGTTCTTTAATAAGGGTTTAATAAGGGATTGGTTCTTTTGGGAAAGGCTTGCAGTTTGAATTTGGCAATTTTGGAAATGGCTTGCTTCCCTTCTTCAGGGGCTGCTCTGGCACAGCTTGCTGCAATAGTGAACCCAGCAAACAAACCTACTAAAGTGAAATGGGGCCTCTGCTTGTCCAGGGCCTTGGAAAATTGTGGAAAAGCTGTTCTTTAATAAGGGTTTAATAAGGGATTGGTTCTTTTGGGAAAGGCTTGCAGTTTGAATTTGGCAATTTTGGAAATGGCTTGCTTCCCTTGTGCAGGGGCTGCTCTGGCACAGCTTGCTGCAATAGTGAACCCAGCAAACAAACCTACTAAAGTGAAATGGGGCCTCTACTGGTCCAGGGCCTTGGAAAATTATGGAAAAGCTGTTCTTTAATAAGGGTTTAATAAGGGATTGGTTCTTTTGGGAAAGGCTTGCAGTTTGAATTTGGCAATTTTGGAAATGGCTTGCTTCCCTTCTTCAGGGGCTGCTCTGGCACAGCTTGCTGCAATAGTGAACCCAGCAAACAAACCTACTCAGATAGAGATGCATTTACAGGCTCAGATAGGGAGATGAGCAAAAAATTGACTGAGCTACAGCGTTTTTGAGAAAAAATGCCTCTCAGCAATTACAGTTTTTTTTGCAAAAAAAAGGGCTCTCCCAATTTTGTTTTGCCACAAAAGCGAACCCTCCAAACAATACATGAGTTTCAGAATAATTTGGAAAAATTTGCCACAATAGCGACCCTAGGTACTAATCAGGACTCAACATTAGTTCATCAGCTGGTTGGTGGTGACTGGAACCTATAAATGGCTGAATTCTGTGGTTTATGGTAGATATAACTACGTATAGTTAATGAATGCTGGTTGGTGGTTTGGAACCATGGAATTTTGAATGACTTTCCAGAAACAGTTGGGAATGGAACAAACATCCAAACTGACGAACTCCATGATTTTTCAGAGGGGTAGGTATACCACCAACCAGTCAGTTGCTTTTGGAACTGGACTGGAATCCACCGGAACTAGGATGAGCAAGTGGGTTCACTTACTATTTCCAGCCCACAACTTATATGGGTATGGATCAACACCTATTAATACCATTTTTAGGGGGATGAACATCCATTTACCATAGGATCCATGCATGGTATATATGCTAACATTGGGGGTATACTGATGGTAAATGTTACCATATATAGCATACATGGATCCTATGACCAAAATACTCGTACATGTGTATCATTTTGTATCGATGTTTCCATGATTTTCCATGATTTTCCACGTAAAGTACGCATTTCAATGTGGCGAAGATACATGAAGATACTGAGATTCGGCATGGATGATGTGTCAGGCAAGACTCGCAAGACTGTTTGCACTTCAAGATGTAGAGATGCATACACCATTGAATGTGTTTTCAAATGTTTTCAGGTTGTCAAGCATGTAATCTATATCAATCATGCTGGTTCGTCTGTGGGCGTGAGTGGTTGTGAGGTTTTATTGTCATGGACCGGCGAGCACGGATCATCGTTGTGGCATGCCTAGATTCAGGGTGTGCACCGGTGGCCATTGGTGCACGTTTGCTGCAGATGTCGGCTTTCATTGACAGTCTCATTGTATCACAGTGCATAATTTCCTTCTGGCACCCAAGATTGAAGGTTGGAAAGTAGCATATGTACAGCATATGTACAGCATATGTACAGCATATGTACAGCATATGTACAGCATATGTACAGCATATGTACAGCAGTATGAGTGTGAAAGTTGCTACTCAAAATGTCAACGGAGGTCGAGTGTCTACGTGACGGCAAAGCTTTGTCGAGACTGCGGGAGGCTTTGTGCGTCGCCGCGATGATGCCTTTGGATTGGAAGTGAATGGTTCACGCTTCAAAATAAACGAATAATGTTGCGTCCTGATTAGTGTGTGCCCCCCCCCCCCTAAACTATTTCTGGACTCTCTTTAAAGTAGAAAGTCAAAAATTTTCTTCCCAAAAGAAAAACATATCCTCAATTAAGTAAGGATTTCAATTGGCTACAATTGAAATCTAATTACTATTGTTTTTTTTTGCCGATGAAGTTGTGGTATTTGTAGTACTTGTAGTACTTGTAGTACTGTAGTACTTGTAGTACTTGTAGTACTTGTAGTACTTGTAGTACTTGTAGTACTTGTAGTACTTGTAGTACTTGTAGTACTTGTAGTACTTGTAGTACATGTAGTACTTGTAGTACTTGTAGTACATGTAGTACTTGTAGTACTTGTAGTACTTGTAGTACATGTAGTACTTGTAGTACTTGTAGTACTTGTAGTACTTGTAGTACTTGTAGTACTTGTAGTACATGTAGTACTTGTAGTACATGTAGTACTTGTAGTACATGTAGTACTTGTAGTACTTGTAGTACATGTAGTACTTGTAGTACATGTAGTACTTGTAGTACTTGTAGTACATGTAGTACTTGTAGTACTTGTAGTACTTGTAGTACTTGTAGTACTTGTAGTACTTGTAGTACTTATAGTACTTGTAGTACTTGTAGTACTTGTAGTACTTGTAGTACATGTAGTACTTGTAATTAGTACTTGTAATTAGTACTTGTAATTAGTACTTGTAATTACACATTCTTTAATAAGGGTTTAATAAGGGATTGGTTCTCTTGGGAAAGGCTTGGAGTTTGAATTTGGCAATTTTGGAAATGGCTTGCTTCCCTTCTGGGCTTGCAGGGGCTGCTCTGGCACAGCTTGCTGCAATAGTGAACCCAGTAAACAAACCTACTAAAGTGAAATGGGGCCTCTACTGGTCCAGGGCCTTGGAAAATTGTGGAAAAGCTGTTCTTTAATAAGGGTTTAATAAGGGATTGGTTCTTTTAGGAAAGGCTTGCAGTTTGAATTTGGCAATTTTGGAAATGGCTTGCTTCCCTTCTGCAGGGGCTGCTCTGGCACAGCTTGCTGCAATAGTGAACCCAGCAAACAAACCTACTAAAGTGAAATGGGGCCTCTACTGGTCCAGGGCCTTGGAAAATTGTGGAAAAGCTGTTCTTTAATAAGGGTTTAATAAGGGATTGGTTCTTTTGGGAAAGGCTTGCGGTTTGAATTTGGCAATTTTGGAAATGGCTTGCTTCCCTTCTGCAGGGGC